TTTTGTCTGCGGGGCCATATAATCAACTTCATACTTCTTGCTGGGCCACACACACAAAAAAAAGTTTTTTCGTGTACACAAGGAATTAAAAAATTAGCGACAACCAAAGTGCCGCGGAAAATGCAAGAGAAGAGAATGCGGCTATCGCTTAGCCTTCCAATAATTAGGCACATGGCAAACGGCGAACGATTTACCGCAGCGGCATGATCAATATGTATTTTCACCCATGTGAGCGCCTCCTCCAACATGAACTGTTGGATTAGGATTTTATGCTGGATTGGGGGAAAATCTGAGTGTTGACAGTGCCACACTAAATGGCTTAGCGGGCCGGATTGGTTCCAGTAACTGCGAAACGTATGTGTAATCGTTTGTCAGTTTTGCTGTCGCATCGACAATTTGCATTCGGTCGATTCTCTTATGTGTTCGAATCATTAGGTTCGAAAGCTCATTGGCCACTCGATCAATACCGATTGGGCTAAACATTTTGCAAAGAAAGAAACGATATCTATTATAAGGTTGGTTAACAATACTCACGACGGTGAGTACTATGTACAATTTGCGAATATTTACTTGTTATACTTTATAATAAATTTTATTGAAATAGGTTATACTTTGTATTCACATTGATCTGTTACGATGGAGAATACTTCACCTTCTATGCACAGTTGAAATCACAATATTTTGATTTCTGACGGGGTCAACAATATGACCAACAATAGTACGTTTTAATAATTTCGAAATTTGAAGTATCGTGTTTATAAATATAAGTACATAATAACCAGTGTGCCGAAAAGTCTCTTTTCAAGAAAAAAATTAACGCTTTTATAATATTTAAAGGGGGGATTTCATGCGATTACAGTCAGCTTTGACTAACACGGGCAATTGCTATAGTGAGAATTTTTCAATTAGTCAGTGTGAGGCGATAACTTTTGAAAAGACGATCATTTATCTATACATTGAATCACGATCTCACTTGAAATCAATATAACCGCTCGTATAAAATCTTGTTTATAGCAATTCAAACCATAAAGAAAGAATATATACTATAATACGATAAACTGTATAAAGAACGTATGGTTTTCGATATTCTACCACATGTAAACCAGTGGTTCTCAACCGCTGGTCCGCGGAGAAGTACCGGTCCGGTAGCTTTTCTGCCGGTCCGCGAAAAATTTCGTTCCGTTGTTTTTCAGCCGTCTCAATCCCCTTACCAAAGACGAACACACGTTGGTTAATAACGTAATTTTTGTTCCGTCGCCATATTGCTGTTATAAATGGCCCGGCGATGTCTTGGGGCCGAGTAGTCGCACTTTTCGCTTTTTCGGTTCCGATTCATCACGAAAGAGCTCCTTCAAATCTTGCAAGATTCAGAAACCTAAATATCGGCACGCGTGCTTTTTCTGTCTTAATGCTCTTTCTGATTAATATGACCATCCAAATAAAAGGTTATGCTTATGTCTTTATTTGAACCAGAAAACAGTAGAAGAACAGTAATCGCACTTTTCGCTTTTTTCGGTTCCGATTCATCGCGAAATAGCTCCTTCAAATCTTGCAAGATTCAGAAGCCTAAATATCGGCACGCGTGCTTTTTCTGTCTTAATGCTCTTTCTGAATAATATGACCATCCAAATGAAAGGTTATGCTTATGTCTTTATTTGAACCAGAAAACAGTCAAGAACAGTATAATATTCCAGGACTTCGCCTTGATATCCAGTATGATATGAACTTGTTGCGACCCTACACGGGGTCACGAGACGCGCAATAAAAGCATGGGCCGCTGAGATCTTTTCCAGGTGATGCACAGCAGGATTTTGAGCCTGGTGCCAAATTAAATTAATATGATGGACCAGATAAACCCGACGAAGAAGAAAAAAATTGATTGAAGTCGGGATTCTACTTCACAGTCCAGATTTAAATAAGAATCACTGTCACAATTCTGGATATCTTTTGATAACGAATACACATCGCATAATAATCGAGCAATCAATCTGTAGTCCGTATTTTCAGCCAGTTACGTTTGCGAATAAACTTTTTCATCACTGGCTTCAATATTGAAAGGAAACAAACGTGTTGCAGAAGCTTTTTTCAAGCCCCATTTGCAATCCTATATTGGAAACGAAACAGTAGCAAAACTCTCACTATAGGCTTAATTCTGTTCGTATATGATTTGGCATGTTGGATACGTGTTTTGTATGGGATATGTTCAGTGGTGAGATTCAAATTTTTTGTCAGCTGGTTCCATCACAAAAGTCATATTTTTCAGCGGATTCTGTTACAAAAAGTCACATTTTTTTAGCAAATAAACTGATTGTTTTTAATTACTTCCTAATTAACATTTCAAAATAATGATCAAGTAACTATCATTATGTTAAAATTAGCATAGAAATTTTTGATGATGGTGATCAATCGTCTCGTGACTGTACTCATGACGCAACAATTCAATTTTCAGACAAACAATCACAAAAGAAAAATTACTACAATTATAAAAATTAACACAATGCATATCTGTTACGTGTAATCTTGATCATTTCACATTTTGAAAAAACACGTGAGCTACTTGATCTCAAAAATCGGCGTGTCAAATAAGATGCAAACATCCATTGACAGTAACCAGTGATGCTAACCGTTCGCTGATCTCATGAAATTCCGTGAGACGGTTCTATGGAACGGTGCGAACCGGCTGAATCCCACCCCTGATGTTCTGAGTGTGCCCCTTTTACGCACTGCATTTTATTACGCAGATATATGGTATTATTTCATGTTCCACCCATTTCAAATTTGGCCGGCACATTATTTGATAGTTTTTGTTAATGTGAAATGTTTTCAAGTATGCCCCCCCCTTTTTTTATCTAGATGCATATTGAGTCCCCGACACTGCATCAATTACGCAAATATATGTTATTATTTTTTGTTCCAGTCATTTGGATTTTTGCCGGTCCGCAAGGATGTTTTATTCAATTTTACCGGTCCGCCAGGGTAGAAAAATTCCACACTGTATATATATATATAGTTATATACAATAATGTATTTTATCTTGAGGGGAGTTCCAAAAAATATATTTTGAAGAGTAACAGAACCTGTGTTGACCAATGCTCAAACCTACATCAGTCAGCAGATGCGCATGACTTACTTTTCAATTGAAATGCTTGTTATTTTAATATCTTTAAATTACCAACTTCCTCGAGTATAAAATAACAACATTATTAATCTTGATGATTTGCAAATATTGCAAAGCAAACGTGATGAACTGTGAATTCCAGCAGTTTGCGAAATCGTATTCAAAAAATTGAATATATATTTGAACATAATTCAAAAGTTTGAAACGTGAACAAGAAAATACGTTGTCACATTACTGTATCGCCCTATTTCAGTTGAAAAAGCAATCAATTTTTTATAAAATTGATCGGTGTGTATAGCATTGCCGAATTAGTATTTTTCTGAAGTGGCCCTGTATGAAAATGCAATTATTTATTAACTTTTCAACTCAGTTCTGTAAATGGTGCTACGATAAATCCCCATGCGATACATCAAGTTCACGTCAATTGGCAGATTGATGTTCTTTATTGACCTGTTTGCAGTTTGATTCATTCTGATTGAGGCGCCATCATTTACGTGCAACCAAGCGCTTATCTAACAAAAAGAGTTAACAAACTTTTCATTATCTTTTAAGATTTTGACTCGTTGCGGTCGAAAATTCCAATTTACTTTTTTCTCATTTTATTATGTTGCACCCAAAACGGAAGCTAAGTCGGCTTTTTTAAACTGAGTTGAGTGTAGCGTACTAGCATAACAATCTAAATCTCTGTCGAAGTTGATAATTACTGATAGAGCTGGATACATTGCGGGTGCTGAAATGTGGCAACGAATATTTTTTTTTCTGAGCTCGCTATTCAGCGTGTTTTATAAAACATGCCTTGGTAAGAGATCCGAAGACGAAGACTCTCTTTTATGCAAACGAGTTGACAACAATGCTGCTTATGTTTTGATCACGGGACCGCAAGGTCCTTTTGGTCCACCCGGTTTAATTGGAATCCCAGGATTTGATGGCCTATACCTGGACCACCAGGAATGGCCGTAGACTACAGATTGGAAATTATGATTGAACAAAAAGTCGCAGAAGATGAGTTATGTGTTTTCAAAATCAAAATCATTATGTAAAAATATAATCTATGCTATTTGGTTTTGCGACTTAACTGCTCAGGTATTTTAATCATCTCAAAAAGAATTTTCAAAATAATATTTTTATGCCTCTGCAAATTTCCCATAGCCTATATCGTGATACCGTTTTTAGCATGGTACCGAAAGTCTGCCCGAAAATGTTTGAATTCATCGGTTAAATGTGAAGACCAATGTATGTATAAACGCTATCGAAGTTTACATGCGCATAACTTCACTATTGTTTTCGATTATACCGTCGTCGAGTCGTTGCTATATCTTTGCATTGTATCGTAAATAGATGAATTGTATCAATATTTATTTTTCATCACTGACTCATAGTTGAACCGTTAACAAAAATTTCAGATGATTGAGTTTTGTTGCAAGTGAATAAAACAACTCTGAAAAATTAAATTGTATAGCAGCAAATTCAGATTCACTTTACCCAGTTGGAACATAGATTTGTTCGGTGCAAAATCACCCAAAAGCTTTCTTTCTCCACCGACTATGCTGAGTAACTAATTAGAAGCTTGTTTGAATTTTCTTTTTTCAAAATTCAGTAAAATCTCTCTCTATATATATATAATTATACTTTGGTTTAGTTCATCTTCACAAACTGCCTCTGCAGGTGCAAAAAAATGTTCCCCCGATAAGTGGACTTGTTCGTTATGACGAGCGTTTTATAAAACTTGCTTGTATGAGAGATCGTCCGAATCTCTTGTATGCAAACGAGTAAAAAACAATGTTGTCAATGTTTCGATCAAGAGTTCACGAGCCCTGTTTGGCATACCTGGACGATATGGACTTATGGGGCTCCCGTGAATGCCTGGGTTACCCTGCTATAAATGTTCACCTGGCATCGGGGTAGATTACAGGAGATTGGGGATATTGGCAGAGCAGAATGTGGCAGAAGGTATTTTTAAATATACCTATAACGGTAACCAGTAGTGAGATTCAGCCGGTTCGCACCGGTTGTATAGAAACGTCTCACGGAATTTTATGAGATCAGCGAACCGGTTAGAATTATTGGTTTATTTGCTAAAAAAATATGACTTTTTGTAACAGAACCGGCTAAAAAATATGAATTTTGTGATGGAACCGGCTTACAAAAAAAATGAATTCCACCACTGCTTATAACATGTAAAACCTGGCATGTCTAATATTTGAAAATAAAAAACGATTGTCGTTTTGTTTTACCTTAACATCACGTCAAGGCACAAAACTCGTTGTTTTATATTTCGAGATTTTAATTTTTCGTTTCTGAACATCACGCCTCCCCGTTATTTTGGTGAATATATATATATATATATACCAAATTCAACTAAAATTGTATTGTTTATTTTATTATGTTTTGATAAATAGAAATTTTCAATTACAGCCATTTATTCAAAGGAGAATGTAGAATCAAGGACTTCAAACTTTCGATGCGAGAATCTAAAAAACAGAGTCGAAGTCGATGGAAATGTTTTTTCGTTGTCGTGCCGGAGAATGAAGTCAAATTTCTGGCAGCTGAGCAGTTGTGCATAGATAGAGGAGCAACACCGGCAAATATTTACGATCGCCATCAATTCGGCAAGATAATAAATTATCTTCATGAGTTAAGACAAACATTTTATCACGTATATCTTGGTATGAAGTTCAATCCTGAGGTTAGTAGACATTGCTATACTGCCGATAATTTAACGACGTCACATGTTGCTAATTTTTGTCCTAAAAATTGTGTCAATTGAATGAAAAAAAAGAATCGTGGGAAGGAATAATTTAGGATATTTTCAAATTTAAGTCTTATCGGAATACAAATTTAGTTAATATTGGAACATAGGAAAACTGTTACTCAAAATAAAGAGTATTTATGGATTTTTAAAACATATAAATACTGACTAGAAATTTTTACTCTGCACTGTTATTTTTGACAGAATGACGAACTCGCCTTCTATGACGGAAGCCCAGGATCGTCTCTTTGAACAGAAAAGATGACAAGAGCGCTTAATTAATCGTAAGGCAAGATAGGATAGCCATTAAAGTTGTACGACAATAACATTTCATTGGTACGACGGTACCGGCATCGCGAGTGTCCAGACAACTGAGTAGTTAAGCAGCATTCTCTAATTAAATAACCTTATACACGTAAAAACAAATTTTCCGAATTTTCGTATTCAATTCTATATTCTCTTATCATTATTATAAATATATTACTTCTTGTTGAACTTGTAGCATGGAGAATTTATAGAATATTTTCATATTGAATATTGCTCAAGAAAATCAGTAGTGAGTTTGAAACTCAGGGAACACATTTGTGCGCGTAGGATAATGCCTGACAACGTTGGTCCCAAGCAGAAGCAAATTTTCTAAAAATAAAAACGCGTGACAACGATGGGCCACGAGGCGGACCATCGCTGTCAACCTTTTTATTTTCTTTTTATTCAATTTTTTTTTTTTTTAATTTTTATTTTTTTTTTATTTCATTTTTATTTATTTATTTTTTTTTAATTTTAATTTTTTTTTTAATTATTTTTATGTTTTTTTACAACAATTTTTTTTTTTTCGTTTTTTATTTTATTTTTTTATTTTATTTTCAATTTTACGCGTGACAACGATGGGCCACCATATATCACCCTATTTCATCTCGAAAAACTTTCGATTTAAATGAAGTGGAATTTGTATAAAAGTACAATTACTTAAATATTTTTAAACCCTGTTTTTTTACGAGTACTACTAAAAGTCCTCAATCGATACATCAAATTCAGGTCAATTGGCAGATTAAAGTTCTCTATTATCCTGTTTGCAGTTCAATTTATTCTGTGCAGACGTCACCATTTACGTGTGGGCAAGTGCTAAATGAGTACCTCCCAAAAAACTTACAAAACTTTTATTATCTTTTGAAATTTGGACTCGTTGGGTTGAAAAATTCCCAATCAACCTTTTTCTTCTTTTGTTATGCTTCAGTACAAACAGAAGAGAAATCCGTCATTTTATAAATGAGTTGCGAGAATGGTACTATTATAACGTTTGAATCTCTGGTGAAGTTTTTATTGCTGATAGAGCTGGATACATCGCAGGTGCTGAAATGTGGCAACGATTAATTTTCTTCAGTCTGCTTTTTAGCGTGTTCCGTAAAACATGTCATGGTGAGAGATCCGAAGACTCTCTTATATGCAAACGAGTAGACAACGATGCTGCCAATGTTTTAATCACTGGGCCGCAAGGTCCTCCTGGTTTACCTGGCCTGGATGGAATGCCAGGTCTGCCTGGAATCCCAGGACTTGATGGCCTACCTGGACTACCAGGAATCGACGTAGACCACAACAGATTGGTAATTTTGGTTGAGCAAACTGTCACAGAAGGTAAATTATGTGTTTATATATTTAGCATGTTTAGTAAACTACGGACTGTCTATTTATTGCGTCGTTCGAAACACAATAGTTCATAATCAATATGTATTAATTTATTCTTTGTTATTTTAGCTTTGTGACTTAATCGCTCAGAAAGTTTAGTCTTCTCAAAAAGACTACTTCAAAGTCTGCTCGATCGAACTTTCAAAATAATAACTCGAGTCGTTGCTTATATCGTAAATAGATGAATCGTACCAATAGAAGAAAATCAGATCAATTAGCAAATTCAGATTCACATGAAACTGATTTATCCGGTGCAAAATCACCAAAATATTTTTTTTCTCTAAGAACGCTGAAGAGTTGATAAAATTCATTCACAAACTGCCGCTGAAAGTGCAGAAAAATGTTCTCCTGTCTAGTGGTCTTATTCGTTTTGATAGGCGTATATTACAAAATTTGCTTGTGTGTGAGATCGTCCGACTCTCTTGTATATAAGCGAGTAGAAACGATGCTGCGAATGTTTTGATCATCTTTCCATGAGGACCTCTTGGCATACCTAGGCGGGATGAACTCATGGGGTTTACGAAGATGCCTGGGTTACCCTGCTATAAAGGTTCACCTGGCATTGGGGGTAGATTACAGGAGATTGGGAATATTGGCAGATCATAATGTGGCAGAATGTATATACCCATAGTATGTGAACCCGGCATGCTTAATATTTATAAATAAAAAGCGATTTCCGAGGTTTTTGTTTTCGTTTCGGAACATTTTTCTTTTTCTAAAACTTCGACTCGATTCCTTATTTCGGTCAATATATGTTAACAAATTCAGCTAAAATTCTATCCATTATTTTATTATGTTTTGATAAATAAAAATTTCCATTTCAGCTATTCATGCGATGAAGAATGTAAAACCACAGACTTCCGACTTTCGATGCGAAAATCTAAATAACAAAGTCGAAGTCGATGGAAAATGTTTTTTCGCTGTCTTGCCAGAGAATGAAGTCAAATTTCTCGCAGCTGAGCAGTTGTGCATCGATAGAGGGAGCAACGCCGGCAAATATTACGATCGCCATCAATTTGGCAAGATAATGAATTATCTTCATGAGTTAAGACAAACATTTTATCACGTATATCTGGGAATGGAATTTGATCCCCGAGGTTAGTAGACACTAATGAAATATATATCGATATATTGTCAATAATTTACCCATATCGTTTCCACTTTTCTTCCCAAAATTTAGTCAAATAAATTTAAAAAGGGATCGTTGTGACGGTAACATTTAGAATATTGGCAACTGTATTTCTCAGTAAAAGTCGCTGTACGCGTCATCTATAGCAAACAACTTTCAAATTAATATTATAAACGTGGAAAAAACCTTCATTCAAATGGTTTTATAAAATGTATTAACATGAGTATAGCGCAGGATTTTTAAACTCTGCTATGTAATTTTTGCAGAATGACGACCTCGCTTTCTATGACGGAAGTTCTGCTTCAATACTCAAGTTGGCGCTTTGGAGATCCTGTTAGACGTGTGGCGGATCCGGTGAAAATGACACGAGTAGCCATAAACGTTCTGAGTGACAGCAACAACTCCGGTAATGGAATGTTGACCACGGCTATGATTTGGCCTAAAACAGGAGTACTTTGCGAATCTGCAATAGAAAGAGAGCCTTGAATTGGCATGAACATTACTATCTGGTATCATATATATTAACTTATCATCTAATCCAACGACCAGTACGATCCAGAATTTCTTAAAGTTGTCGACTGAAAGCAATGCATTCCAATGTTGTTTATGTTACTACGCTTCTTCACTATTTAGAAGTTTATGAATTCGTCAGAATAAATTTGATAACACTGAATTTGTAATTGTATACTTGTCCGTAAGCGTGATTCTATTCTAAACCTTGACAGCAATGAAATACTGGAACATATTATAAAGACCAATTTTCCTGTAACTCTATAGGTTAAATACTAATTTTTCTTCAGCAGTTGATGTCAAACCGTTGCTATGTAATAAATATTTGAAACGAGTAAGTTTGTATGTACTAATGTGATGTGGATCGTATTTATCTCCTGAAACAGAAATTATGACAAGAACGCTTACTCTCAGGGCAAGATAGGATAGCCATTAATTTGTACGACAATGGCATTTCAGTTTCCTATTGGGAGTGTTCTTTCTGATTTAGTGTTGTTATCAGTATTACTTGTGATATAAGTAAAGTTCTGGGCAAGGGATGATCGCTTCCAACGGGAAAGCATGTCCTGAGTATTCAGAAATAAGTCAAATAGTATTGTTTCTTAATTTTAATTTCTAAGAACTGAATATTTGGATTGGTATTATAGGGAGACGAGATGCGGTCTTAGGGATAAAGACTGATCACCCTAATATTCAAAGTTCGATTCCCACGTTATTAATTACACGTGTTATGGAATGTGACTCCAATCTGGATTCCCTCAGACGATAATAAGCACACGATGTTGAATGTCGAATTGTTGTATATTATTGGAAAGATGCACGATCCAAATTCCAAATACAGATAAAATTGTATACACTTAATTCTTAATGCAGTAAGATTACGGTCAGATCACAAGTGAAACAAAAAGCACAATATTATAGACCAGGGATGGCGAACCTTTTTCACTCAGTGGGTCAAAAAATTAATTTTTTTATTGGGAAAATCAATAAGGTGGGTCAACGAAATTTGATTAATGTCTTCCTCAATGAGAAACTTGCTGTTGCATCTTTTCTGCAAGTCTTATAATTCTTGGTTGGTATTTCGTAGTTTTCAACTTCACACATGCAGCACTTATATCGGGACTGAGGCGATTTCTGGTCCTTGATTTTATGAAATTCATATATATGCGAAAACAAGAATTCACATGAATATGAAGAACCAAAAAAAGTTAATAATGCTACGGCAAATCTTTTCATGGTTTCAAACGAGTTTGGAAGAGAATTCCACTCTGAGAGAATTATATTTTCTGCTCTGTTTTCAATCGCGTTGAAGTCACTACCTTCCTGCTCTATTTTTATTTCAAATTTCTGAAGGCATCGATTTTTTAGATCCATAAATTTCGTTTTCCAAACGGCACTTTCTTGGAAGTCTATTATTTCCAAATTGGCCAGATTAAGCCATTCGAATTTTTTTTAATTTAAGATCGTCGAATCCAATTGAATGCGGGGAAAGAATGAATTGCAAAGTAGCATCTAGTTCTCGAAACTGAACAATCATCGCGGAAATAACATTTTTAGCCTCATTTATGACACAAAAATACTTCTTGAGCGCATTTTCCCGATCTTCTTGTTTCACGTTGTTGTTGGTGAAATAGCCTACCTAAGAAGTTGTGGAAAATATTTCAATTTACCTTCTTTCAAGTCTGCAGAAAACACAGCAAGTTTTTTCTCAAATGCTTTAACATGCCCAAACATCAATAACGCGGTATTTCCACAGCCTTGCAATTTAGTGTTCAAAGTGTTGTAATGGTTTGTAAAATCCGCAAAGAAATGTAGATCATTCAACCACGTAGCTTCGCTCAACTCTGGGTATGTTTCCTTTTTTCAACTAAGAAAATTTTTACCTCTTTCAATAACACGACAAATCTCTGCAACACATTACCACAACTTAACCATCTTACATTATTGTACATTAGTAATCCAGAATATTCACTGTCGCATGATTTTAGTAACTCTGCAAACATACGTTTGTTGAGAGCACGAGCTGCAATATAGTTGACTATTTTTGTAACAACTATTAAAACGTTTTGAAGGGATTGAAGAGCTTTTGCACAAAGATTATATATTGATTAAGGCCGGTCCTATCATTTTTATCCCTAAAATATTGGTTTTTACTTTGCAATAATTCGTGACTTGGTGAGTCACCAAAATAAGACGGTGGGTCACTTTGTGACCCGCGGGTCAGTGGTTCGCCATCCCTGTTATAGACTATAGAGCGATCTCGGCAAACCGGAAACGATACGTCATCAAATTGGTCGAAACGAGAAAGGCAATACATGGAGCGAATGCATTATCGCTGTTGCGAAACATAATGTGGCCTATTTTGTGAAATATTACATGCTATTAATATGAAAAGGGTTGAATACATTATAATTCATAGTTACACAATGCACATTCGCTACAGTATCATCAAATCAACAAAAAAACTTAATGAGAACGGCACGCGGGAGATTCGCGAACTTCTGGGAACGAAAGATCCTCAGGGAACCCACGTATATTTGTAGTTGAGCCGTACTATATATATATTTTATTCTCATTAAAAAGAATGATATCTATTCCACTTTTGTTATGACCATTTTCCTATAGCATGCACGAAATACAATCAAAAACCGTATGTCATAAATATGAGTAGTATTAGACCACCTTTCCGGTGGTGTTTGATCAATGCGGCGCTGTGAAATACCCTGTGTAAGAACTTTCCACAAATAAATGAGTCGACCCAGCGTTAACTGATTGTACAGGCTACATTGACTGCGATAGGAAATTATATAAAATGTAGATAAGAGAAAAACAGAGAATGAGAATAAAGTAGACATGGTAGAACCTCATTAATTTATGTCATGGATGTAACATGAAAAATTTCATTGAAGCCGTGTCAACTTCACAGACTGTCACGAAAGTTCATATGTCTCAAACTTATCGCTAGCTCGGAAATAAAATATTATTTGAATTAAGAAAGTTTGAAATAAAATATTAAATTCCGTTTCAAACAACCGAATTTGTGGCGGAAATAACAGTGGGTGAAAAGGTTCACGGTTGCCAATATACGGAGCTGCAAGTGTCCATGGCTGCAATCGTCCGTCCGTTTGTTTAAACGTCCCAAGTCTTAATTGCTCGCGGGTGCAAACGGGTGTAATCTTTAGGGCTATATCCCAAAAGTATTCGGCGATCCATGATATATATTAGAAGAAGAAGACATCGCCAGACATGGCGTCATCGAATGTACAATTCGATCAGACTGTCTGTGTAACTAAATGCTCACCTTTCGTCGTAACTGCCTTCGCCAACTTACAGACACAAAACAATTCCGTATCCAGTGGTTTCGAACTTTTTATTCGTGCGGCGCCAAATTATCAAGGAAAAAACTCACGACGTACTTACACGAAAATAGAATTGCTGCCTTCATAAATAAAACTCAATTTCGTGTTTGTTATTGTGTACTTCATGCCTTTTAAAGTTTGTAAATATGTAGGCCTAAAAAATGAGGGTAAAAGATCAACTCTGCCCTAATTTTCTTTGAAATACTAAAGAAATACTCATGTTCGCTGAACTCGAGTTCAGTAGAAAAATAAACTGCAGCTCGAGAATGTCAGTGAGTAGAAAAGTATGCAGGTGCAGTTGTCCTGGGTGCAGATGTACGTGGGTGCAAAGATACTGAAACCGGAAATTTGAATTTATTGATTCATATACACAGCAAACATTTATAATGAATACAATATGTAAAATATTCAGTAAATATATTACTCATAATATTAGTTATGTTTAACACAATTCTGTTAATTATCGGGGTGCACTTTGGCAAAGCGCCGCTGCGTCTCCTTTGGGAACCGCTGCCGTAATTCATACTTGCTTGACCTACAAGCGGCGCTTGAAATGGATTCCGAAAACATAGTTTACTGAATATAGTTCGCTCACGGCCGGTTCGCTACAGCTACGCATGAATGATTTTCGTTTGAATTTATTTGCGTTTTTGGAATGGTTTTGTTGGTTGAAATAACTGAAAAGATATACTGACGCATTAGAATAAAGCAGGGGGTCGTGGCATCTGCCAATCATCTTTGCGTCGTACCATAAGTTATCAAAGTGAGTAGGGCAGAATAATTCTGCTGTTCTGTGATTGCATTTATTGGATGCTAATTAAAGGTTTATACCAGGATTATAGCACAAAAGTGGAGAATTCAGATACTTCCAAGTATGGGCGATTGATAGAATACCGAATCCAGAGGATTTGAATCCTAGAAACTCGGTTTCCGTCTCTTCGGCGCCGTGCGTCAATTTTTGTACTGGACGAGCGTTATTCTCTCGCGACGAAATCTGTCTCGCGTGATTATACTTGTGTTTTCTCGCAAAGAGCCCGCAAACGATATCGAACACCGTAATCCCAGCTTGAATATTCAGAACGCGAAGACGGCGTTATTGCACCA